GTGGCTGCAGCCTGATGTCTGCTGAATCACAGGTATTCTCCTTCTTCGATGCCCTAGGGGCTCAGAAATTAACATTTGGAGGGCTTGCATTGCTGATGACTGTGACATCCTTGTTTACTGATATGGCAGGAAATTATTCCATATCTCAATACACTGCAATAATCACTTGTATTTGTGACCTGCTGTGACTGCAGAAGAGTGATGATCTGCAAAAAGATTGAAGAGAGAGGAGCTGGACCATAAGAATCTGCTGGCTTTTGTCCACTGCTATACAAAGCCAAAGACCCCGTGTCTAGCAGATGGGAGTCTCTGCAGTAGTTATATTTCCTGGGATCAGGAGAGCTGGGCCAGTTTTCCTGGAGACTATCAAATGCTAACCTGTCCTTCCTTCTGCCGCCCATCCTACATTTATAGAAGCCCTCTGGGTTTCCCACATTGAGCTTGGTCCTGGAGTTACAATGTTCCCAGGAAGGCCAAGCAAAGGAACAAAACACCGGTAAGTGCCATCTATGAAAGAGAGTCTGTGGAAGCTCAGAAGAGCAAAACAGGGTCAAGGTGCAGGAAGGCTGCTTGGAGTGAAGGAGGAAACAGACAGAACAGGCTCCATCTTGAAAGCAGGACTCCATCTTGGGCTGGACTGTGGACTTTGAGCTACATGCCCAGTATCTATGGAAACGACAGACCAACTGGAAAATCAGACCCCCCCCCCAATGGAAGAGCCCCAGGGCTCCGTCTCCTAAAAGAATACCCTTATTATCTGTCTAACCGAATAGAATCGTAAATTCTATTATGCTTATTGGGGTATGACCACAGGCCTATTGATAATTGTCCACTGTTAACTACCTAGGCTTAAGGCATATGATTCACAGGTTAACTTTGTATCTTTCTTTTCCTTTGTTCGGACTAGTTTCAGGGAATTTGGGGAGGTGGGTTTGGGCACGTACACTCAGGGTATATAAGGTTTTCACAAAAAACTGGTCGGGGTCCTTGGCTAAGAGTAGACTCTGCCTTGGGCCTGCAGATGTAATAAACTGCACTCCACTATCTGCATTGTCCTGTGAGTCAGTTTGTTTCCCGGAAACCGTGGCTACAACAGGAGGACATGATGCTTGAGCTGGACATCCGAGAAATATATAGCCATGAAATATGTATGCCAACCATGGCATATTTAGTGTTTCACTTTTCACATTGTTTTGTTTAATGCACTGGGAATTTATTTTAGTGTAAGATGTTAGGTTGAAATCTCACTTACTTTTTCAAATGCTAAAGTGTTAGTCAGTCATGTCTGACTCTTTGCAACCCCATGGACTGTAGCCCACCAGGCTTCTCTGTCTATGGGATTTCCCAGGCAAGAATACTGGAGTGAGATCCCATTTCCTTCTCCAGGGGATTTTCCTGACTCAGGGATAGAACCCAAGGCTCCCGCACTGCCTGCCATCAGATTCTTTACCATCTGAATCACCAGGGAGGCCCTTCAAATGCTAAGCTTGTGGCAAGTGTTTTCCAAATAATTCATCTTTCCTCACTTGAGATGCCATTTCTATCATATGCTGAAATGGTATATGTTTGAGCTGTTTTTTTCACTTTAAAAAAGATATTTAGTTTATTTTTGGCTGTTCTGGATCCTCACTGTTGCACGTGGGCTTTCTCTAGTTGCGGCGAGTGGGGGATACTCTTTACTGTGGTGCTTGGGCTTCTTGTGATGCTTCTCTTGTTGGGGAGCAGAGGCTATAGGTGCTCAGGCTCAGTAGTTGCGGCACAGGGTTTAGTTGACCTGCGGCATGTGGGATCTTCCCAGATTAGGGATCAGTCTGGGAGTTAGGTGGATTCTTAACCACAGGGCCACAAGGGAAGCCCATGTCTTCACTTTTTATTTTGTTCTATTGATCTAGGTTGCTGTTATTTAGTTGCGTCTGACTCTTTTGTGACCCCATGGACTGTAGCCCTCCAGGCTCCTCTGTCCATGGGATTTCCCAGGCAAGAACACTGGAATAGGTTGCCATTTCCTTCTCCAGAGGATCTTCCGGCCCAGGGATCAGACTCATGTCTCCTGCATTGGCAGATGGATCTTTACCCCTGAGCCACCAGAGAAGCCCCTTGATCTAGGTAAGAAGATGCGCTATCATAGTGGCAAAGTTAGTAGGCTCTATGGTCTGATTATCTGGGGCGTGCCTCAGTTTCTTCATTTGTGACATGGAGATAATAATAGTACCTACTTCATAGGGTAGCTGTGAAGATTGAGTGAGATTATGCATATAAAGTACTTATTAGAGCCTGGCATAGGGTAATCAATGAATGAATGTCAGCTGCTATGATGATACTATCTGCCCATTCCTATACCAGTAACTGAGGAAGATGAAATTACTAAGCACAAAGTTTTGAGTCAGTTGGAACAGTCTCCTGCTTACTACCTGCATGACCTCAGGCAAATTACTTACCTTTTACCTTCTCTGCTTTGGTTTCCTCATTCATACCTGGGGATATATTAATAAAAGTACCTATTGCAGCCTGTTGTGAAAATCAAACATGCAATGTCGCATAGGACATGATATATAATAGCCCCTCAATGAATGTTTAATCTTCTGCTGATTATTATTATGACATTATAATTTATTATCTGTTTTCATGTGTTGTAAGGCAAGCTCCTTCTCATTATCTTTACTCCCCAAATTTTCTGGGGTGTGGCAATCTTTCAGGGCCAGTTCTACTATGGGTGAACAAGACAGAATTTCTGGATCTGCAAGGCTGATGCCTACCTCTTGAACTGTGTTGAAAGTCAGTGTGATAATGAAGTCATGAGTGGGTAACCAGTAGGATTTGGGGAAGAATGGAGAAGGGAGTTGGGGTGGGCCTTTGAAGCTCATATGACAGATTTCTGAAAATATTTTAATTTTGCCTTAATTTTCACTTTAACAAAGGAATTTGCATAGTTTAAAAGGCCATCTAGTTCTATAAGATAGTCAGTGAGAAATAACAGGGACTTCTCTGAGGGGCCAGAGGCTAAGACTACAATCTCATAATGCAGGGGGCCTGGATTCAGTTCCTGGTCAGGGAACTAGATCCCATGCGCCACAACTAAGACTCAGCATGGCCAAATAAATCAATAAATATCTTTTAAAAATAAAGGAAAGAATAATAACAGTCTCCTGCTCCGTTTTCCTACCTTTATACATATACTCCTCTGTAAACCACTCTCAAGTCTCTAAGATGCTTTTCTTTTGTACTTCCCTCTACATTTCTTTTGTTTTCTTTCCTTTTTTTATTTCCCTCTACAGTTCTAAATAACATGCTCATGCTATTATTTCTTTTTTTATATTTTAGGTATAATCAATCAATTGCCTGCCATGGAAAATGAGGATATAGTTCTCTCTAATCCTGATTCCTCATATACTGCCCCCCTCCAATTTAAATATATTCCAAATTTTAGTTAAATCAATGCTTGTGTTTACATTATTATGGCTGTGAAAATATTCTACACACTGAGTTATGTAGTGTTTGTACTAAGACTCTGTGAATCTGTAAAAACTGATTTTATTAATTAACCTTGGGGACATGGGGCTGAGAAACTTCATTCTCTAAAATCATACAGTCACAACTTTTCTATTTGAAATCAAAAAGTGAGAATGGGACATATCCTACTCTTGTGGGAGATTTAACCCATGTTGATTACTTTGATACAGAGAAGCAGCTTCAATTTCCAACCTAGGTGCAAAGATTCAGATATTGGGGTTTTGGACATATCATTCCACATTTATCTTAATTATATAGTTATCTATTACATAATTATCTAAAATTATTTAACTTTGTAGTTTCCAAGTGGACCCGCAGTTTACTTCTCAGTCCAGGCTGTCGTTAACTCTTTCACTTACATCTGTGCTTACTTTGAACCTATCAAAATACTACTTCATTCAAATATCATCTGAACTCAACTGTTTCCCATATTCTGTAATGATTTGGCTTTTTCCTTTGTTTGATGAGCTGCTCCACAGTTCCTCTGGTTTGTGTTCTGTCTTGTAGCAGCAAGTGAATAAACCCAACTGTCCAATTACAGTTATGTTCTTAGTGGTCTTTATCAGACAGGCTTTTGTAATTCTCTTTCTTTCCTTTTATAACTCTTTGTTTTCCCTGAAGTTGATAATTGCCTGACCTTTTTTTTTTTTCCTTTTTCTTAATATTTATTCATTTATTTGGCTGCACTGGGTCTTAGTCGCAGCAAATGGACTCTAGTTTCTTGACCAGGGATCTAACCTGAGGCCCCCTGCAGTGGGAGCACAGAGTCTTAGCCACTGGACTACAAGTGAACTCCCTGCCTGACATTTTCTTTTACTTGGTTTTCTATATACCTGCCATGAATTCATCCCCCAAATTCTGAAAGCTGTATATACAACCTTCTCTTAATACCCTAAACACATCAGGTTATTGCTCTGTCCCCACAGGTGTTTTCCCTTAAAGACACCTTCCTGGAGCACTTGTCCTCTGGCTCCAAGTCCTACTGGTTGCTCCTTTGAATTTCTCTTTTAAAGTATGACACCTTCTGTTCTAGCACCAATCTCAGAGCACCACGTTTAGTTGTCAGTGCATCTGTTTCCTTGATTCCTGCTTTCTTCCCTCCACCAGAGAAGGGGCCATCCTTGACATTTCTATTTCTCCAAAGTCTAACGTGACGCTCATGAAATGTTCCACTGAGTGAATGAATAAAAAAGCGTAAATAAGTGAATGAATGAATGAGTGGAATTTTTGTGCAAAAGAAGCTTATTTAAGAGGAACGATATTACATTCCCACCTTGTTGCAAGACGTAAGGGTGTCTTTAGGTTGTCTACAGGCCCCACGCCAGCTTTGAGCGGGGTCTCAAGGGAGAGATGCAGCACTGAAAGCTCTTCCGGCCCAGGCTGCAGCTGCAGGAGCAGAGCCTGCTGAGTGCAGCCTAGGTCAAGGCCGTGGCCGGGCACCCCTCGAGGACTACAACTCCCAGAAGGCAGCGCGGCGGCGAAAGCGCGAGCCGTGGAGGATTCCGGAAGCTGACGTCGGAGCTGTGTGGAGCCGGGAAGACGCCGGGCGGGTAGGTAAGTGTAGGTGAAGGGCCGATTGGGGAGGGCGGGAGCGTTGCGGCAGTGTCCCTGACGTTAGGTGGTATGGAGGGTGGGTGAGGGAGGACAGGGAGTGGTCTCGGATGAAGAGCAGGTCGTGGGGTGTCAGGGACCTCGAGCTGTGCTTTCTCTTCCCGCAGTGTCCATGACGAAATTAGCGCAGTGGCTGTGGGGGCTGGCGCTCCTGGGCTCCACCTGGGCGGCCCTGACCATGGGAGCCCTGGGCCTGGAGCTGCCTTCGTCTTGCCGGGAGGTCCTGTGGCCACTGCCCGCCTACTTGCTGGTATCTGCCGGCTGCTATGCCCTGGGCACCGTGGGCTACCGCGTCGCTACTTTTCAAGACTGCGAGGACGCCGCCCGCGAGCTACAGAGCCAGATCCAAGAAGCCAGAGCCGACTTGACCCGCAGGGGACTGCGCTTCTGACACTCTAACCCCGATTCCCTCCCGGACAGCCTGTTCTCCCATTCCCCATTAAAGGGACAGTTTATTTTCTAAGCTTGTTTGGTTTGAGTATGGATGCTGGGAACAGCTGTGTACTAGCTGTTGAGAGGCTCCTTGAGGCTTTCTCACAACCTTTATCTTTGCATTTTGCTGGTGCTTCTTCCTTTTTGCTTTGAAGGAGGCACAGACCCCCTTTCTCAAGATCTCTCAATGGAAAAATCATTTCACTTTCCTGGTTTTTTTAGCCCTGTTAGGAGAGATTTTTTTGAAGTCTGTTCTTCGTAACACCCAAGCTCTGTTCTTTTTTTAAAGCCTTCTTAGGTCTTTCCAATCTCTTGGTTCTTCCAGATACCTTTTCTGAGCTAACCCTACCAGTCCAAGAGCAACTGTGAATCAAACAGTGCCCCTCTACCCTTTACCCAACCAGGTGGATTGATTATCCCTGAATAGAGAAGGAGCCTTGATGGGCAGGGGTAGGGAACAGTTTATTTTAAGGCACATTCTCAAGATTTCCCCCCACCTCCAAAATTAAAAAATAAAATCTTGAAAAAAAAAAAGTGAATTCATCTCCCAGGTTCCATCCAATCTTCTAACTAAAGCTTTTTCTTTAGTCCCCGGATTCTCAAAGCATTCTTTTCCTTAACCACAAACCACTGCCCCTGTGGAGCTAACCAGCAAGAGCAGCTGAACAAAGAAGTTTCTTTGGTAATAGGTTGGCATTATAGGTGCCCAGTGGTCAGGTGAACTCCCTCAGGTTTGTAGAAGCCGATGATAGTTCCTGTCTCCCTCCTGGGGAGTACTTCCAAAAAAGCCAGAAGCGAATGAAGCTGGTGAGAATTCCTGGAAGGTTGGGCACCTGAAATCACAAGGACTGCTATGAGGAGCTGATTTTCCACCTCATACACACCTGTCACCCTGCCCTTGTTCTGCTTACCACAATGTAGGGATCTTTTAGTCGAAACCCATAGAGTGTCCAGGAGGCAGAGGTGAGGAGGGTGGCAATGGTGAGTGAAAAGGAGAGACGCTGGGTTGATTTAGTACGAATGACCTTGGTCTATAGGAAAGGATGAAAGACACTCCTAACCAGGCACATGGTAAATCTCCCACTTTGCCCAGAATTTCCTCAAAAAAAAAAACCCCCCAAAACGTCAAACAGCCCCCATGATCTTCTGTTACCCAACCTTTCCCTCCTGCCTCCCACTCACCCAGCTCTACTGCCCTGTCTCCTTCCAGGATTTGGGTCTTCCCTTCCTCTGGACTGAAAGCTACAGTCTCTGTCCGTGGGAGGTTTATCTCCCTTACCTCCCTGGACACCCCCACTCACCAAGTCAGCTAGTGGTGAGAGGTACATACTGATGGTGAAGACACTGCAGAAGAGGCCCAGGTGCTGAAGCCGCATCTCAGGGTCGGGCACCAGGAGCCAAAAGTAGGCAAAACCCAGGACAAGGACCGCCAGCAGGGTTGTAGTCTGAAGGAGCACGGCACGCTACAGAAGAGAGAGTAGCCATACTTGTGGATGTGCCAGGAGCCCTCTGACTCTGCTGCTGGAATGAATTCGTCCTGCCTTCACCCATGCTCCAGTGGGGGAGCCAGCCTTTGCCTAAGCCTCCAGTATAGCACTTGCCACAGCCTCTTTCCCACCAGTGACTTCAGCATGGGTCTGATCTACCCAAACCCTGGAGGTTTCTAGGAGAGGGAAAGGTATCTTTTTTGGGGTGAGCTTGCTGCAGAGTAGGAGCTTAATGCTAGTGTGAATGGGGAAGCAGAGCTAATCATCTCACTCACAGCCACTGGCACTGACTTTGAAAGAACTGTGGAGACAAAAATCTCTTTTCACTCTGTTGGGCAGCAAGGCACTTTCAGGCTTGGCAGAGCTATCAGCTTTGCCAGAATGGGGACAATATGTGAATCTCAGAAGGCTGACGTTATGGCGGAAGGAGCACTGCAAGGCTGCAGGGGTCTTCCAGGAAATGGTGGCAGTGCCAGCCTGTTACAGTCTTCTAGGAAAAGCAGTGTTTGCCTTGCCAGCAAGGCAGGGCAGGGCGTGCAGCAGAGGAAGGGCCTCTACCTTCCGATGGCAGTAGTGCAGGTACACCAAGATATACAGAGTCTGAAGCACAGCACCCACGGCGTTGACGGTGATTAGCGTCCAGTTTCCCTTCAAGGCCCCATAACTCAGCCAGCTCAGGTTGCTGCAGGGTGCAGGGGAGGGACATTGTCCCACGGGGTTGAGTGTGAAGGGTGGGGGGGAGACCCAAGGGGCCTTGTCCACATTCCTCCTCACCCCTCCCCAGCCTCCCTCAGACAGCCTTTCCCCCCAGCAGGCATCGCCCCCTCTCACTTGACATCCGTGGTAAGAAAGGGCAGGAACTGGACACTGTCCACGCTCCGGGTCATCCGCATGTGTTTGAGGTCCGAGCTGTAACGGGGCCCCGAAGGCAGAGGGGAGAGGTGGAAAGGGAGAGCCAGGCTGCTGGGGAGTCGAAATCCCCGATGCCTGTCATCCTTTCCGGACAACCGCAGACGCCCAGCCCTACCCTCAACTCCCTGGCCTTCTCTCTCAGGTCAAATGACCAGCCTCGCCCTTGTACCCCGTTCCCTTTGACCCGATTCCACTTTGACCCTAGGTTCCAGATGTAACCTGACAGAGCGGCCACGTCTCTGTCCTCTCTCTCTCCTTTCCTGACTTCCTGCCCTGCCCAAGCCCAGCCCGTCCGCTCTCTCACAGGCCGGTGGAGAACATGCCGAGGGTGAAGAGCACGCAAGCTCCAGAAAGAAGCGAGTCGGCCAATCCGCCCGCCTCCATCCCTCCCCGAGTCGCAGATCCCGCTCTCCGCGCCCGGGGCCAGCTAGCAGGATCCGGAGCCCCCGACGCCGGAGCCCCGCCCCTTCGCGCCCCTGGCTCCGCCCCTGCGCGCTCGGCGGTCCCCCCGGAAACTGAACCGGAACCTGGCCCACCCCTAGAACGTCAAGCCCGAGCTCGGGCTCCGCCTCTCCGAGGGCCGGTCCCGACCCTGCGCAGCGTTTAGGGTCTTCACGTTGCTTTCTATTTTCCGTGAGGCCCCCTTTCTAAGGCTCCGCGGGTTGTCCCGGCATCAGCCGCTTCACACTCTCTGCTTACTCTTCGGATCACCTAGACCCCCCAGCCTCAACTCTTTCCCTCTGGCCCACGAGCCTACGTGGTGGAACTCCAAACAAAAGCTTTCTAGGCAGACTTCAACACGCTTCCGATGCAGGACCCCAGCTCACAGCTTCAAGTTGGCCAGAGTTTGGGAGATTTTCCCGTTTGCTGAAGACTCTTTCCGGTTTCTTCCCTAAATAACTGGAACTGCCAGGAATCACCGAGTCTTTGTGAAATGCCCTCCCCCTGCAGCCAACACTGCCAACTTTCTGTGACTTGGCGAATCCACTGGCCAAGTGTATCACTGACCCCCCGCCCCCAGTCCAACCAGCTTGCTGCTGGGAACTTTCCCTCCCAGCCTCCCACACGTCTTTGCTGGTGGGGCCGTGAGGCGGGCCGCATGCCTCAGCTGGCGTTCCAAGCGGCTGCCTTGACTCACCCAACAGCGTGAGTACCTGAAGAGTAAGTATGCCGAAGCCCAGCGCTGAGAGGGAGGGGGTTGGGCAGCGGTTGGACACAAGGACCTTCCAGAGTGGGGTGCAGCCTGGAACTGCTGTAGGGAGCACTCTTGTCCTGGGCAATTCTCAGAGGAGGAAACACCCACCCTTATGGGCTGGTAAAAGGCATTATTTCTAGAGAGAGGAGAAAAAATTCAAACCCCCTTGCTACTGATATAGTGCAGAACCTGGCAAGTAGCAGGACTCAGTGGTCATAAATTAGGAAGGAGGGGCAGAAAATCATGTCCAAAAAAACAAACACATTCCTTTATTTTGAGACAAAGAACACTGTATAAAAAAAAAACAAAAAACAAACTCCAGTTGTAGAAATCAGCATAGACACACATCAAGTCCATATACATTCTGTACTTGTGGGCCCTGCCCTTCAGGCTACAGACTAGGCATAGACTCTGCACGTGGGCACTGCCCTTACAGTTACACTCTTAAGAACAGGTTGGCACAGCCCCCTGCTGGTGCAGCTCTGCGGAGTGATGTCCCAGGATGAGAGAGGATGCAGTGTCTGACTACAGACCTCCCTGTGGCAGCTCCACAGAGTCCTGGGGGAGATGCTGGGTCAACCCAAGCAAGCATGCTGCTTCTCCTGTCCCTGGCTCCCAAGCAGGAAACTGTCTCTTGCTCTTCCTTCAGAGCCATCCTGGCTGTCCATGGGAGGGGCATCTTTGCCAAGCTCAGTGTCCATCTTGTGACCCCAAGCCCCATCCAGTTCGGCTCCCACGGTGCCCTTCTTAGGAGGCCATGTCCGTCTAGCTTGTTTCTTTGGCTTAAGGGCAGGAATGGAGGGGAAAGGACTGTCTCCACTTCTTTGTCTATCCCTCTGACGTGGAGGTGGGAATGGCACTGTCAGGCTTTCTGACCTCCTTAGGGTTGAAACCCTCAATATCGACCCGTTTTGAGGCTGCTGGGTGGCAGCTTGAGCATGTGGTAGGAGTGGTTCCCAGGACTGGGGCCTTGGGAGGGGCCCCAGGTAGGTGAGGGAGGCCCGCCTGCCTCCTCAGCCTGGTTCCAATCCTTACAATAGATGTGGTGCACACCCTCATGGGATTTGCAGCAGCAGGAATGGCAGCAGCAGCACAGCCCAGGCTAGTGGGAAGAGGCGAGGGGCGGCGCTGTGACCGATGCTATGCAGAACCTGCACCTCCGGGTCATCTGCAAGATGAGAGGGCAAAGGCCTCCAAGGTGAGTGGCCCTACTGCTGGCACTGGCCCTCAGTCCAGCAAGGTTTCCCCTGCCCCTGCCTGGCAAAGGAGTCACTTTTTATACCCAGCCTCTTCAAGCAGACCCCGTTTGGTGCCCCAGGCCCAATTTGCTCCAGCCACCTACCTGCTGGAAGTCTCTTCTCTTGTGCATTGGCATGGGCCTGAGGGCTGCGAGCTGAAAGATAAGGGTGGTCGTGGGTCAGGTAACTTGGTACACGCAGGAGGCAAAGGAGTGGGAGTGCTGGCTGGACTGGGCAACGGGACTTCCCAACCATCCCAGATCTCTAGACCTGGCCCAGGACAGGATGGAGGAAGAAGGCCCACAGGACCCTGACACTCACTGATTTTGCCATCGATGAAAACCTTCAACTTCAAGCAGCGGCCTTCCTGGTGGTGCATGGGTTTGGCTACAAAATAAATCCAGAGAGTTTTAAGGAAGGGAAACTTTGTTGGAAGAAAATATTAAGTACAAATGCCTCTGGCCCTGCTTTCTCGGTCCCTGCTCATTTGAATCCCTCTCTTCCCTCTAATCTTTGATTCTCACCTTCCCCACTTGCCCAGAAAGTTTTTGCCCACTTTCTGCCCCAAGTTCAGTCCAAACTCCCATTCTTGGGAATAACCCTTGACTTTGGAAGTGATGATAAAAAGAATATAGACACTGTCCCTTCCCCACAGTCCGTTCTCCACTCCTCCCAGCCTGAAGTTGGGGTGACCTGCACAATATGCTCCCCTTCCCCAGCCACTATGTCCTTGCTTTCCCTAAGCCCCCTGATAGGGTGAGGCCTGGATCCATTCTACACAAAGTTGATCTTACAGTTCCTAAAATCTACCCTCAGGATAAAGTCCTTAGCACTTCTTGGGTCCCCATGCCCTAGCCCGTGTACTTCTCCAGGCTCCTGTCTCCCCACTTCCAAGTGTCCCTCCTGCTCCAGTCTGTCTGAACCATTTGGAGTTCCCTGAGGATGTCATGCTGTCTCTGTACCTGACCTCTTGTCTGGCCAGCTCCTCTGCTTGCCCTAAGCTCTTGGGTCATCTTCCCCAGAAAGCCTTCTATGAGGTGCACCCCACTCCCCCAGACTGGCAGGTATTTAAGTCATTCTCTCAGGGCCTCTGAGCTCATAGCTACCATATCCCCCTGTTCTAGTGGTATTAACAGATGTATGTCCCTTCGTATATTCTGGAGGACAGAGACCCTGCAGTGTTCTGTTTACCTCTGTGACTATAGTGCCAAGCAGAGTGCCCAGGACACAGTAGAAACTCACTCTGCATTTGTAATGAGAATGAATAAAAACAGAATTCAGGCTTGGAAGGGTCTGCTGCTTGCCTCCCCACTAGGTGTGTACTGAAGCGTGCGCGTCATGTCAGGTGTGTCCCCGAGGGTGTGGACCTGTGCGCATGCCTCCCGGGCACTCACAGATGTAGTAGTAGCTGTGTCCCTCTTTGAAATCCTTGCTCAGGGTAAAGCCTGTGAAGCGGTGGAACTTCTCGGACAGCTTCTCCGGGCCATGCCTGGCCTTGGGGCTGTTGCAGAACCAGCGGACGTGGTCCCTGGATTGGGGCTGGCATAGCTGGTACTGTTCGTGCTCCACCAGGTACAGTGTGTACTGCTCCATGGCCGCGTCCGCCACAGAGTCGTCCTCGTAATGAGGGCAGATGATGTCCAGGTAGTCATCTAGCCGCACGTGTATTGTGTAGTCCTCATTCCAAAACCTGGACACGCGCAAAGGTGGAGGAGGTGGGTGATCACCCAGAAGCCAGGCCAGAGCCTTTGAGCCTCCACATGTTTACGTGACCCCTCACATTCCATACTGGACCCCACCCCAAGGATTTCTTAAAAAGTCTTAACTCCCAGTATTTACTGATCTTCATCTCTCAAATATCTTTCCACTATCTCCAAACATTCCCCCCACCATCATTGTCTGCCACTAATCCCCTAAATAGCATCCACTTAGTATCTTTCAGGTACCAAAGCACTTCCGATAACCTCCCTGATATTTACCCAAGGATGGGCTTCTAAATATTTCCTCAGCTCACTCTTCTGCTTATCAATATTTCTCCAACTCTATTCTACCACTTGTTCCTTTAAACGCTGGTCGACCTCAGTCTGAGACCCTATTGGCCTATTCAGTAATCAGAATCCACGTAACCTTTTCTCTTTCCCATGCTGGTGCTTGGCACCCAACAATCTGTTTTCACTTTTCTTACTCCTCTCATTTCCCCCTTGACCCACTGAGTATATCTCATATTGTTCAACTTAACTTTTCTCCCAATACCCAGGACATCCAGGCCCACAGATGATGCCCAGTCCTTTTAAGTTAAGTTGCTTTCATCAATTTTTCCAGTCCCCTCAAATCCCCCCCCTTCTCAAATCAGTGCTCAGCTCTCCTGGTCCACTTCTCTCAAAGCACCCCAAAACCTCTCTTGTCCTTTTATCTCCGAAAGCCATACATTCACCTCCAGTGAAATGCGCTCCAGAGAAGGCCCTCCTTCTTCCCAAGGTGGAGCCAGCTCCCCTCCCCCAGCCCATTCCCCCCAGGCTCCACAGGCTCCAGCCTGACTGCCCACCGGCCCCTCCCCCGCCCAGCTCTAGACACCTGGCTCCAGTCTGGGTGGGGTCCTAGTAGGGGGAAAAGTGCCTCCCCACCTCCCTCTCCCAAGCGGGTCAGCTTCTCTGAATCCCCCCAAGCACTGCCAGCTAGAGACTCAGCAGAGTTGGCTGCCAACTTGCTTCAAACCAAAGCCAGGGGCATGGGTTGGGGGGCGGGGCGGGGGTTAGGCCAAGAGGCCTCTGAGGTGGGCACCCACTGCCCAGTCAGCATGACCCTTAAGAGGCCTGGCCCTACAGGAGCATGCTAGTGCACCGGCTTACCAAGGCCCTTCCCCCACCCTGGGGAAAAGAGAGAGAGAGAGGCGCAGAGAGAGGCTTTTAAAATTCCTCTGTGGAGAGATAAACATAGAAGCCATTTCAGAACAGGTATTTCAGCTCTGGGCCTGGCGTCTTTCCTCCATTCCCGTGACGGGCACTGACTCATTCCTCATCTGCCTCTGCCACCCGCCCCAGATTTCATGAGAACCTGTGAAAATGTCCCTCATCAAGTGTGCTCAGCCCCCAGGACCCCAGGACGGCCCAGTGCCCACCTCAGGCAAAGGGAGCTGACAGGTCTGAATCAGAGGGGTGTTCCTGTCCCTGGAGTACTAGGGCCAGCGCACAGTTCAGGCGGCACTGCCCTTCTTCGCACGCTGCCCCCTGCCTGGGGCCTGGAGATCCCAGGGCTGAGGCCCACTGCCCTGAGTCACCCATGCCAGCCTCACACCCGCCCAGCTCACTGCCACCTCATCTTTGCCCTCGGGCTGGGCCTGGCTTGGCTGCTTGTGGACCCCGCTCTGGGCTGGCTTCCCTTTAGTCCTGGGCATAGTAGTGTGTGTGTGTCCAGATGGACAGGGCAGACGCTGTGCTGGGTGGGTGCACCCATCACCCTCCTCCTGGGGGTACAATCTGCTCCACTTAGCACTCCTTTGACTCTTGCTTGCTATCTGGGAAAGGCGGGCAGCGGCGTCAGGGAAGGCGGGGAGGAGGGGGGCAAGGAAGAGGCTCCTTCCTGAAAGAGAGGAAACCTGGGAGCTTGGGAACGGAAAAGGCCAGGGTCCTCCCCCTACTCACGGCTTCCTGTCCCCTCCTCCTCCTTCAGCCAACACCTGGCATGGGCATAAACAGGGACTTTGCTCTCTCCCTCTAGGACAAGATTGGGTCAAAGAAGCAAAGAACAGACAGCAAGGACTGAGGTGAGGGAGGGCTGACTACAGTCCTATCAGACAGAGGCTGATGGGCAAGAGGGCACTGTCCCCTTGGCTTGGCAGGTAGCTGTCGGTTCCCTCCCTCCCCAACAGACCCCCCACCAGGCAATGCTGCCACAAGGTCAGAGGAAACTGGCACAATCTATTTCTCAAGGGGAGTGGGGGGTAGGCCTGCTAGGGCTGGGGGTGGCCCAGCCGAGTGGAGTGTTTTCCCCTGACCCCAAGTTGCCCAGCTCTCCTCTCCTTACTCCACCCTACCCACCTCTCCTGTTTTCCCACAAATACTGTTCCCCTAACTTCAGAAAACTCCAGAACAAAGAGTCTGATGGGAACTTCTTCCTCCCAGTACCATTTGCCTCACAGCCCTAAATCTGCCCAGGAGAAATTAACTCCTTCCTGCCCAGAGCCCTTTGTAACCCTTTTAACCCCTTCCTGTCCTCCAGAACCATCCCCATGACCTCTGTCTCTCCCCTTCTTTTCAGTTTTACTACCTGAACCTCAGATACAGGTGACTCCTTCAAGCCTACCCACACACAACATATGCCTCACTCCTGCCACCTCAGAAGACCCCTGGGGGGGGGGGGCATTCCAGGGACACCTTAAAATCAGAATAAACACTGAATTCAGGCAAGCCCAGGTCCCTCCTGAAGAGTCTTTCCAGGATTACTGTAAGAATTCTTCTTACTCTAGATGTCAAGACCTGTCAGTGTAGGTAAATGCCCAAATACACAGAGGCCTTTGTGGTAGAAGGGCTTAGAACAAGAGCCCTGAAGGTCAGAGAGAGTGCCCCTGCCAGAGGCAGGAGGTGTTCAGCATCCAAAGGATCGACAGTCTAGAGGGTGTAGAGTAACAGCCAAGTTACAGCTCAGTTTAGCCCAAGCAGACAGATCTTTTACTACACAGACACTCCTAAGACATGGGAGCAGAATGATCATCAAAAGAACCTTCCTTACCCTTCCAGTTAATCCCTCTTGGCTTCCCCCTTTCATATGTCCAGTCTCCTCCTTTGGTTATGGCGGGTGCAAAGCAGAGCTTGTACCCACCACCAATGAATGAAAGGGAATGCAAATGGGCATACACTCAAGGCCGATTGACAATTGTAAGTCATATAACAGCAGGCTGTGTTGTTTATGTCTTCCCATAATTTGGTCTGTTACACTTAGACGTAGAATATTCATGAGCTCTTACTGGGCTCCTAACTGCCTAAGGTTACTTGGAGAAGCCCCTGTGGTTATTTTGTATCCACTGTGTGCCTAGGGCGCATGTGCAGGCGTTGAAAGGTCTCTGTGGTTTTTTTGTAGCACATCAGTGAGCTCTCCTGGGTGTGTCCGGGATGGATTTTAGAGATCAGCTTGCATCCCTTTCAGCGAGGCCTCCCATTGTTGCTCATGTCTAACTTCCCACCTAACAGAAGTAACAGCTGTAGCAGAGGGAAGTAAAAGAGGGGCAGAGACCGCACGGTGCAAGCAGATGCGGGCAGGGCCCTGCCCTGGGGTGGAACTCCCGGTTATGGGCGAGAAGAAAATCTATGGGAGCCCTCCCGCCGCTGGTCACCTCCCCAAGACTCAGGTTAGGGGCCGGGCGGGACAGTTAACCTGGAGGGGGGAGCGTTGCCAACCGGGCGTCCAGGCTGTCGGCCGGTGACTCGGGCTTACTTGGGGTTTGAACTGTTCCAGAAGACGGTGTGGCGGTCAGCAGCGGCCAGACTGCAGCACAGACCCAAGAGAGAGGCCCAGAGGAATTCCATAGCGCGGGGCCTGGCCAGGCCGGGCGGGGACGAGGGGCTCCTCCGAGTCTGGGTTCCCGCAGGGTTTCTCGGCAGCGCAGTCAGCACCGCGCTCGCAGCTCTGGCCCCTCCGCTTCGCGACTCCGCCTTTTGGGCCGGCGCCGCCCGATGCCCGGTGAATCTGCTCGCCGTGGTGTTTGCTCGCTCGTGGGTCGGCGTGCAGCTTTGTGGGTCTGTGTCCCGGGCGCAGTCGCGTGCGGGAGAAGGGAACGCATTCCACATGCGGGTCTGCCAACTCGCGGGTGCCGGGCCTGCCTGGCGGCGCCGCGCGCCGATCTTGGCGGCTGCGAGGTTGTGGACAGGTCCCGCGCCTTTCTCGAGCCTTGTACGCCCGGGTTGGGTGCCCGCGTTCCCACACTTTCCTCCTACCCACCCCCTTCCCGGACTCTGCTCGGCTGCCCCTCCCCACACACGAGGCTGTTTGTTTTTGTTGGGTTTGTCAATGTTGTCTTTGTTCGGGAGATTGTGTCATCGCCTGGATGCCGGGAATAAAGTGCGACCCTGTGTGTGATCAAGTATGTAACGTGTGCGGCTAGGGCTTAGGGCGCCTCTGACCGTCAGTGCCTGTGAGAGGAGGATCGTGGGCCCCCGAGGGGGTTCGCTCTTGTTTCTAGGGCTCTAAAGGGCACTAATGACCTGTGTGTGTGTGTGTGTGTGTGTGTGCGCCAACACGTGTGTACCGTGCGAACAGACTTTGAATATGGACTGTGAGAATCTCGGCCTGAAGGGCGACAAACTCAAACCACACATGTGCATCTGGCGTGTGTAAATACGTGTGAGAGCGCGCAAGCGTGAAAGCATTTGTGAGTAGTATCACAGCCGCGTGTGGGGAAGCGTGTGAAACTTTGACGAACGCATGCTAATATCTGTGAACAGTGTGTGAAAAGGAGGGGGAAACGTGCACTGGCGAGCCGGAGCTGCGGCTGAAGGCCCGGAAGGGGTGCTTGTGCGCGGCGCCCCAGGCCGGGCGGCGGCCGTGTCTGGCCCAGTTTGGGCTGGGTCTTCCAGTCCGTCGGGCCCCAGTATCCAACTCGGCCCCCTCCCCCCGAGCCGTGTAAACAAACCCGCTGGAATTCGCCTCTCGGGGCTCCTCTCTCCGCCGGGGTCTGCTGCCGTCTGGAGCGGGGGGTTGGGGGCTGGGTGTCTGCCTCCCAGCTCTCGGGGCGGAGAGGGCGGGCAGGTGTTTGATTAGGGGTGTGTGTGTGTGTGTGTGTGTGAGAGAGAGAATCTGGAGCTGGAGGTCCCAATGCTGTGTGCCCGCGTGCCTTTCGTGGTTCCTGTGTGCGACTGTGTGACTCTTTGTATGCCCGCCCAGAGTTGATTTTGCGAGTCTGTGCACCCCTGGCCAGCTCTACCACGCGGCTGCGCAAAGCGGGAAGCTGCAGACCCGCACCCCCCCCACCATGTCTTTCCCCCCACCCCGAGAAGCTCGGGCCGAGCTTCCGCAGTTCCCAAGCTGTTTCATCCTCTTCTTTTGCGGCCAGGCCTGGCCACAACGCCTGTAATTACGGAGAGGGGGAGGGGGGCCGGGACGCCGCGGCTAGTCCGGCGCTGACCCCTGCCGGGGAGGAGCCTGGGCTTGAGGGAGGGCTCGGGCGGGTCCCACCCCGCGTGGGGCTCAGACTGCTAGAGGCCCGACTCGTTTCGATTCGCTGCGCGTAGGATAAATATTTACCCCCGCGCGGATTAGGTATTTGGCCGGGTAACCCTACGGCCAGGTCCGGCCAGGCTTTGCACAAGGCCCCCACCCCCTCGCACACACCTGCCCCAGGCGACGTGCCCCGCCACGCGTTTATCCCAGGTGCAGCCGCCCCTCCCGCCGGGGCCGAAGTCTACCCGCCGGCCAGCCCAGGGCAGTGCAGCTCACGCGCGTTTTGCTCACTTGGGAGGACACCTGGGTGTCGTCCACCCACGTGTCCCCGCGAGATACCCCACCCCCCTGCTCTTGTCCCGTAGGCTCGAAGTCCCACGAGGGCAGGGGTTTTTGCTTCTTCACTGCTGTGTTGCCAGTGCCTGGCACAGCACCTAGCACACGTAGTAGGCAGTCAAGAAACATTTGTTGAGTAAGTGAAATCAGTATTCAGTGTTACTTCTGCAAGACGTACTGCTCTGAAAAGAAACCAGAAGGGTTAGAGAAGGAACGGGTGATGGTGGTTCTTCAGAGAGGGTGGTCCACAACTGCCCCCTGGAGGAGACGGTTTGGGGCACATCCCCCCTCCCCAGCTTTTTTGACCGCCGGGGTTTCTGGGCGGGAACGTGTGGGGTCCCTGGGCTGCGCCGCTCAGACCGGGCAGGTTCGGGCTCGCTCGGCCCAGCCTGGCGGGGCCACGTCCGTTCCCGCCCTGCCTGCGTCTAGGACTGGAGCAACCCGGGGGAGAAGAGGTGGGGGAAATTCTGGGCACACGAACGGAACATGGAGCTCTCTTTCCCTAGGTTGGCACTGCCCCCAGCATTCTCTCTTAAGGCTTGGAGCTCATCACTCTTGTATCCCTGGGTTTGTGCGTACGGGGGTCTTTCATGCGAATTAATGGGGCGCCTCTAGATCTTGGCTGTTGTGATGAACACCGAGGATAAGGGTGCATTTAGGATAAAACCCCTGTCCTTGGTTAGTCCTTAGGCCAGTAGGGGAAACAGACAAGCCACCTTTTAGCAACAAACTTGCTAAGCGGAAAAGCCGAGATTGCAGAGCCACAATGCGCACTTGCGCTGCCTGGACACTCCGAGAGCCGATGCGACACCTGGTGGACTGGGAGGAGAGTTGCAGGCACTGAGCGATCCAGACCGAGACAGCAGAAGGGACTTCGGCTCGGAGACCGACCTGCAGACCAAGTTAGCCCGGTGCCCTCCCTCGTCGCAGCCCCCAGCCTGCCCAGGCGGGTCTAGTCTTGGTTCTTGCTTTGGGTTACCTCTCACCACAAAGTCGTGAGCCTGTGTTGGCTCTCAGCACCGCCACCCTCAGGCGAACATCTGGGCTCAGTGGCGGGAGCTGTCTGAGGTGTCTGTCTGTCTGCCCGCCTGTCTGGGAAATTCCCCTTATGAATCCTTTCTGGGAATTCCTCAAGGACAAGATTAACTCTCTGAGTGCCCTGGGGGAGGCCTGGCCTCTGGAGGGAGGTGCTGTCCACCTGTGGGGGCACCGTTGGCCTGGAGGTACCATTTCCAGTGTGGAACAGGCAGAGCTACTTGATTGCTACTCCCTTGCTGAGCGCCCTGTGGTTTGGGGTGGAGAAGGACAAAACCACAAGACCCTGGGGCACAGCTAACCTGGCCCAACCTCTAAGAGCATTACTGGGCAGTGGGGTGATGGGGAGGGTGCAGGGAAGGTGATCCTGAGCTTGAAGCAGCCTCTGCTCCACTCCCCACATCATTAAAAAACAAAGTGTATGTTTCCCATTTTACTAGTGATATGTGTGTGTTTTTCAAAAGTTGAAAAAGAGAACCGGAGAGTAAGGGGAGCTACCGGCTACTGTGAATATCTTCAACCCTTCCCTGCCAGCCTTTAGTCTGTGAGTTTTTGTTTCTTTGTCTTTAGGTATTGTGTTAAATATGATTCACTTCTATTGTGTAATTCTTTTTCTGCCCTTTAACTTTATGACAGAGAATATTTTCGTGTATAACCTCTTTGTAAAAAGTATTTTTAACCACAGCATAGTGTTTCTTTGAATGGTTCAGAGATTGCTGTTGTAATGAGGCAGAGTAGAGATAAATAAACACATTCCCACTTTCAAGTACTCCTCAGCCACTGAGCAATTGAGTTGATTGTTTCCTAGAACTTGCAAATAACTCTGTGGTTAACTTTCTTTCAACAAGTTCTTATGGCACATCTGCTCTGGACCAGGCTCTGAATTGGGGCTGAATCCTTAGTGGAGGACAATCGGCGAGGGCCCTCCTCTACTGGAGCTTGCAGTTTCAGATGATACCTGGGCATATGATTATCTAGATTTTGGAGAATTTCACGGATGTGTGTGTGTGCTATGTTGCTTCAGTTGTGTCTGACTCTATACAACCCTGTGGACTGCAGCCTTCCAGGCTCCTCTCTCCATGGGATTCTCCAGGCAAGAGTATTGGAGTGGGTTGCTGTGCCCGCCTCCAGGGCATCTTCCCAACCCAGGGATCGAACTCTTGGGAAATACTTTGGATATTACCAAATCAAAACCAGATTCTTTTGGCTACTAGTCTAGTTCTCTTAACTGAGGGCCAGAACCTAATGGATCTGTCTCTCCTCCACATCCAACTCAAAAGGGGCCAAACTCTGTGGGAGAAGATGGAATTCTCTTCTTGGGAGTCCCCTGCAGGGAAAAGGAGGTTGGGCAGGATGGTGAATGGGAGGGAGATTGGAGGAGTAGTGTTAAGGAAGATAGGACCATAATTTCTGCCTAGAAAGCAACAGGAAGTTGTTGTTTTTTTAATGCTGCCTCTTCCACCAAAAATTAATTAGTCACTTACATCAACTTCTGTACTGGGAAGTCCTGGGGGCTCTGAAACATATCCTTGTTCTAAAGGAATTTAATCTACTTGCAGATATATACTGAGAATATAAAATAAGGATTGTAGTAGAGGTATAGATGGAACAACAGGCCGTGGGTTCACAGAGGAAGGATGTTTCTTTGAGGTCAGGAGTGCTTCACAAGGAAGGGGATATATATGTTTCTTCCTCTGCCTGCCTTTGAGTCTTTGCCAACCTGGCTGACTCTGGAGGAGATATTCGCAATGGGTTTTGAAAGATAAGTAGGCATTCACATTCAGGGACAAGGGAACAAGAAGCACAAGTAGAGAGGTGAGAGTTGTGCAGTGAATACTCTGGTAAAGCTAAAATTACAGAACCGGTCTGGGGCAGTGTGGCAGGAGATGAAAGCAGAAAGTGGTTTGGGGCCATGTTGCCAAGGGCCTTAAATGCCGTGACCAGGCTCTTGAAATTATTCTGTAGTCCATAGATGCTTCCTTAGGTAGGAAACACAATCAGACTTGTATTTTAGGAAACTCACTGCAGGTAACAGAAGGTGGGTGGAAGACGAAGCCCAGAGGCAGGGGTGCTGGTTAGGCCTGAGCTGCGGGAGTGCCGTGGGAGTGAGGAGGGGCAGAGAGGGCAGAGCCAGAGACAGG